CAGGAGTTGGAGGTTGCTGTGAGCTGTAATGCCACGGCACTCTACCCAGGGGGACAGCTTGAGGCTCTGTCTCAAAAAAAACAAAACAAAAAAAACAAAAAAACAAAAAACCAAGAAATAAGAGGCTGATAGAACTGAAAGAATCTCTCAGAGGAGGGCTGCCTGAACTCTTCCATGGGTATGCTGGTAAACCTCCTGTGACATGGATCACCCTAAAGGAAAACACAGAGTATACATCACAGAGGCCAAAATCCATTTACCTGAATTCATAACTGAGAATGTTCCCAGCATGCGCAAAAAGCTAGCTACATTCTACAAAGTAAAAGTCTACCCAGAAAAGGTTCCTAGATGCCCTGGAGTAATCTATACAAAAATGGATTATCCTCAGTCAGCAAAGAGAGATCAAAGATCCAAAAGCATCAGCATCAAGAGAGTTCACCTTACTTAGAAGTCACCTCATAACATTAGTAAATCTTCTTCTCCAGAAATTCTAACAAACAAGTGTGTTCAGAACAGGGACATTTCAAGAAAATTTACTCAGTACACAGATATGATTCCATACTGTGAACTTCAGAGAAAGGTATAACAGAAAGACGACAAGGTCTCCAGAAATCATAAACACATTCAACTGTATCAAAGAAAAGATGCATGAAAATGACAGGTAAAACACAACTCTAAGTGAAAATCAGGAGAAAAACCAAGTAGTTTCTATCTACATAGAAAGATAAATGTATTGAGAACCAAATGGATGGATGCTATAGGAGAACACTTTCAGAGGAAGGCTTTACATTGTTTCCAGGGCAGTTAAAAAAATATGGCAAGTGAAATGAAGGAAAAAAAAGTCCCAAGAAAAGCAACAAGGACCATCCAGGAGCAGTAGCTGAAACAAGCACCAAAGGTTAACCTGTCCAGAACAGATTATGAAGGTATAGGGGCTAGAACTGAGGTTCTCAACCTGTGGGTTGCGACTCCTTTGTAACACTTCAGCATTAAGAGGGTTGAGAACCACTGGGCTAAAAGAAACTGGAAAGAAAAGAAGGTGACTGAACGATGGAAGGTGAAGAACCTTAGAGGGGATCCGGTCAGGATGAGATTCCCACAATTTATACTATACTGTTGTGCTCCAGCTGAGAGTAACAAGATGAAAACAGAGGTAAAGGGCAAATTCTAGTAGCTCTGCATTTGGTAAACAGCACTAGACAAGGCATCTTAGAAGGCTGCTATCAGACTAAGAGGACAACAGCCTGAGCCGAAGCAAATACCGTAGAACAGAGGGGACAACAGCCTGAAGACCAGAACATCCAAGACAGGGTGGACTTGCAACCCAAGTAAGGAACATCAATAAATAGGAGACTGGAGTGACAGCAGACACAGGAATAATAAAGTGGAATTAGGGTCTCACTGAAGTAAAATGAAGAATTTATTTAAGAAAGAATTTAGTTTTTTTAGGACTCTAAATTTCAGAAGCTGAATAAGCTTTTTCCCTAATTTACAGTGTGGCACTGTTTGCATGTGACAATAACATAAAAGGTAAAATTAATAAACGATAGATAAAAGTAGGACCTTTACAAACCTGATCCCACAGATCTTGCTATGGTTTGAATATGTCCCCTAAAGCTCATAAGTTGGAAACTTAATCCCCAATACAACAGTTTTCAGAGGTGGGAACTTTATAGTAATCCATTCTGCCCTCATGAATGAATTATTTCTGTTATCTCAAGAGTGAGTTAGTGATAGTGGGAGGGAGTGCCTGACGAAAGGATCAGTTCAACCCCCTCAGGCCCCCCTTCCTTCCCTCAGCCACGCCTTCCCACCCAGGTGCTTAAAATTTAAGAATTCAAATTATAAGCACTTTAAGCACCGGGTTGTAAACTATTCATAAACAATCTTCTGACAAGCAATTACAGTCATTTTAAATGTGCTCCTGGAAAGTGAAGAGGCTCTTTCTGTAGAAATGCGAAAAAAAATAGAGACCTACTCCTATAACCATATTATAAGATGTGCCATAAATTACAACCCATTTTAAAATGTACAAAAAAGCATACCTTTAACGTTCCATCAGCTGAACAACTAGCCAAAAGCTTATCATCTGGTGAAAATCTGCAGTGATTGACTGAATTTGTGTGGCCAAACATGGTATTTCGACATTCTTTTTGATTCAAATCCCAGAGCTATTTGTGAAAGACAAAAAAAATAAATAAATAACTAGTACTGAATGGGGAAAAGTCAGAAATCATGTAAAGTTCTTCCAGTTCTCCCATTTACATGTGTTCAGTTACAGGATAATGTTCAATTCACAGTAACACAAAGTTATCAAACATAAACTTGTGGTTAACAAGTAATAGAGCAGCCCTTAGATCAGTATCTAAATCTACTTAGAGACTCAGAGGCCCACTTAGCTCTTTAATCTGAGCACTAAATAACTATCAGTTATTAATAACAGTTGCTTATTTCAGTTGAGTGGTTTAGATTTATTATTATCTTACTCCATTACAATAAGCTATAAGTAACATGTAATATAAGTTGTCCTCATTTTTTTTTAAATGCTAGATTATCCAACCCTAAAAATGGTCATTTCTAAGGTTCCCCAATGCAACCCTTAAATCTTCCAACCAAACTAAAAGCTATTAATGCTCTAAAAACCTCTTCAAAACAATTCAAAGAGGCTGTGAGTATAAATACATTTAGCAAGAAATAATAATATAAGGGGTTAGAAGAACAAGTCAAATAACCACCTCTAGGAAGCAACCAACCAAATGCAGAATGTGGCACAGTCCACAGGACAAATGACTCAGCTTCTCTAAACAACACCTCCTCTCCTCCCATGCTACCTGTCCTCTCATGAAGAAGGCCCCACTTCAACCACAGAGAATTTCTGTGCAATTTTTCTTTTGGAGGAAAATGAATAAAAGTTATGTTCCTGAAGAGGGAGGTAGGGAGGATAATTTTCAATAACCATTTAAATACTTTCTAATTTTTTTTTTCCAAGACAAGAGTCTCACTTTCTTGGCCCTAAAAGAGTACCATGGCATCATAGCTCACAGCAACCTCAAATTCTTGGGCACAAGTGATCTTGCCTCAGCCTCCCAAGTAGCTGGGGTTACAAGTGCCCAACACAATGCCCAGCTATTTTTACAGGTGGTGTCTCACTCTTGCTCAGGCTGGTCTCTAACTCCTGAGCTCAGGCGATCCATCCACCTCAGCCTCCTGGAGTGTTAGGATTAGAAGGCATGAGCCATGGTGCCTAGCAACTTTCTAAAAATTTTTAAATAATTTATTTAAATGTCAAAACATAGAGTTTATTAGGTTTTCTGAACTGAAACGTTTTTATCCACTCCTACCATTGCAAAGATGGGAGTGACATCAATGAAAAAAGGTTCACATAAAACCAAAAACTTACCCAAAAGAAATTAGCATATTTTTCTGCAACTCTGAAAATTTAATCTAGCTGTCTTCATCCATTTAAGAGAAAAAAATACAAATAATCTTTTATAATTTATAATTACAAACACTGTCAAGCACATATAGAATGGGTTCTCTATTTTTGGTTTTAGTATTTTTTTTTTCCCTACCGTCACCTTTTTCCACCTCCTCTTTCTGATAACAGAATCTCTCTTTTGAATCAAGCTCTATTTAGGATTCTAGTGGAGGCAACCTCACCTCCTTTGTCTCACCTCCACGTAGCTGAACTTGAGGCCTCTGGACAACCCAGGGATCATACTCGGGTTACCTAGCTAAGAGCATATAACCCACACTGGGTCCATTAGTCTTCTATAAACCTAGATCTGTGAGATCTGGAGAAGAACAGGTTTCTCTTCCTCTGTGATTATGACCTGTAAGACTCCTGTAGGCCTCGAGCTAAGGGTAGCCATGTTTCCTGCCACACAGAGAAAATCTGCCTGAACTAACGGAGTACGGCACAGCCTGAGATGGAGAGGATGTTAGAGCCCAGTTTAAGCATCTGAATTCAGCTATGTTTGAACCTATGCTTCCTCAAAACTCTTCAGTTACATGAGCTAACTATATACACAGAGGGTGCCAAAAACATATATACATTTTTTTTACACATACATGTGTTTATTTGGTTTCTACCTTTTGCCTTCACAAAATTAAAAAGGCTTAAAATTTAATAACAATAACAATGTTTAAGATAAGGACTAGAAACAAAAACCTCATAAAGAATGAACGAAGATAAATACATTCAGAAAAGAAATCAGATGATTGCTGCAATGAAATATTGAGCAATAATAATAATGCAAAAAAAAGTAACATTCACATTGTCAGATAAGAGTATGTCTATTGAGTATGTCAATGCTTTGACTCTGAGGTTCAGTATAGAGTCATCAGTTAATATGTTCTTATTACTTTTTCCCCAAAGTCTCAAAAAATAGACAACTAATATTTATAAATAAAAATAAAAGATAATTTCAAAAAACAGATCATGCCAAATCTTGTAGACAACAGAAAAAGAAGAAATACTTCAAAATCATTCTACCTCATTCGGATACACCTGATATTAAAAAAGTATGTACATTTTAAAACAGGAAAAACTGACTTAAAATTATAATACTCAAGTCATGTTTGACTCCTGCAATTACAAGGGGTATTCAACCTGACTTGTATCAGTATACATTTTGTGATCAGAATACATTCAGTGTTACAATTACAATTTTAATATGGTTTTTTCCTTTCTTAAAATGTGTACACATTTTTTGTACCCTCTATTTATGCTATATATTAATATATGTGTATAGATACATACACACTTTTTTTGCTTAAGCTAATATGAAAGTTTCTATCACTACAACAAAAAAGGCCTGATAATGCATGGGAGTATCAGAGGAGATATCCTGATGTATCTGTCAAATTTATCTGCATAATTCTCAACATCCACACTTACTTTGAGAAATGAGTCACTTGACCCAGTGGCCAAGAGAAGATGATGACTGTTGTTGGTGAAATGGCAGCAGGTGACCTGCTCTGAGTGCTCATCATATGTATGCACTAGTTCCCCAGTCACAGAATTCCAAATCTAAAGAGAATGGAGAAAATAACATGTACAAATATTCATTTTTTTCAAAGGGCAAAGCAATGGTAAGTTACTTTGCAAATGCTCTCTCCTATCACGGCAGATTTCCCCAAACTGACATAATGTTAATGAATACCTCCCCTTCTCTAAAACACTGCAATACTTGCTTTGATTTTTTTTAATTGCTTGGAAATAAGTCTACACATGTCTTTCTATAGCATAACTGGAACCTCTTGAAAAATGACAATCCTCAAAGACAAGATTGCACATGTTCATATGAATGACAGTAGGCAGAGATTTTCTATAACAGACTTCAAATCAAAGGGGTAAGTCTCAGACCTGACTCTACCACTTCTCATCTATGTGTCCCTCATCAAGTCCTTAACTTACCTGCATCTCAGTTCCCTCTTCTAAAAAATAGGGATTCTTATACCTGTCCTACACAATTCAAGGGACCAAAGGAGATAATGAACATGGTAAGTATTTACAGACTTCAAGGTACCACGCAAAGACTTCAAAGTCTGATGGAAACCCAGCTTTCCTGCTGTTAGTTGATGTGAGCTTGGGCAAGTGACTTCACCTCTGAACCTGTGCCCTCTTCTGTAAATGGGATCAATACTCACTTTACAAGTTTTAGTGAGAAATTGATAATGCAATATAAGAAAGTGTGTTCAAGCCTTTCACAGTGTTAAGTTCTCAGTACAAATTAATCATCATTTTAGTTACCATATAAGACAACTAAGCAGTCCATTCAAACAAAGAAATAAGTTACCTAATGGATCTCCACTGGGGGAAGTTTACTTTTTAGAGGCTCTCCTCATCCAGACCATTCCTTTGTATTTTATCAAAGCACTTATTAGAATCCCCAGAGGTCCAGAGAGTTTATCTTATTTGGAAGGTCTTTAATGGCTATCACTGCCTTTTGCTTTATATTTTCAGTTCTTAGAAAACAGAAACTCAGCATTATTTCCTTTTACTTTTTGTAGCTCTGACTTTGGAACTGCCCAGAGCGACCAACTCCAAATCTGACTCAGTAGAAGACACGGAGAGAATTAACTATTGGCTGTCAAGGCACTTGGTCCAAATTATCACGTAGATTTTTCCAAGGTCTCAATTTAGTCTGCACATTTCATAGCCCTCTTCAAGTGGAAGAGAATTCCAGGAAAACACTCAAGCCAACTTTTTTTTTTTTTGCAGTTTTTGGCTGGGGTCGTGTTTGAACCCGCCACCTCCAATATATGGGGCTGGTGCCATACTCCTTTGAGCCACAGGCACCACCCTCAAGCCAACTTTCTTGCCCACCCCACCTGACCAGATTCAGTACTCTACATCCCTTTTGAAAAAAGCCTGAAGTGAGGTCCCCCCATAGCAGTGATAAAACATCAGTTTCTCTTAAGTTCTATATCAGTATAAATTTTCTAGCTAAAAACCAAAGTTAGGGACAAAAGACCAGAAAGAATAATTAACAAAGATAAAAATTACCCTCTGATTATTTTTTTCTGTTTAGTTTGTTCATCCATCTGGCTTTGCACTGAATATATAAGCCAGTTCATAAAGGTAAAAAAGGAAAAACATCTGGACTGCATTTCACAAATTATATCTTTTACAACAGGAATCTAATCTCAGACAATAATTTTGTGCAGCAACACTTCAAATCACAAGGCACTCAAAGACTTCAATTGATACTTAACTCACAGACCTACCTGTTAATGGCAGGCAATTTCATTAACTGTCAATTGCTTTTCCCTGCTGCCTACTAAATACAACCTACTTGTTTTTGCTAGTGCTTAAAAATAAAGAATTTTCCAATCGTGTTAATTTACAATGGACCAAGTTAGCAGACCAACAGGCAAGAGTCCTATAATCCTACCCATTCTGGTCTCTCTGTTACGGAAGAAGAAGATGAATTTTGTGGTGATTATAACTCATGAGGAAAATATTTTTTTACCTTCACTTTTTTATCCACTGAGCAAGTTGCTATAAATCTGTCATCCATAGAGAATGCACAACAAAGCACTTCATCCTCATGAGCCTTGATTTCTAGAAGTTTCTCTCCTGTTTCAAACTTGAACACCTGCACAAGCAACAATAAAACTGTATTACTACAAACCACTTAACTGTAGGCCATCACTTCATAAAAATTTTTCTTTAGAAGATCATAATCACTGTTATTTTGCAAAAGAGAAATGAACCTTGGCAAAATCACTCCAAAAATCAGAATTTTTATCAGAATTTGTATGTCTTAATGTAAATAAACAACCATACATTGTTAAATGTAAATATGAATAAAAAGAAATGGCAGAGTATAGCTTCAGTTCTTGAGACTATTTTGGCAAATTCTTTCTTTTTCCTTTTTTTTTTTTTTTGTTGTTGTTGTTGTTGAGACAGTTCCACCCTGTGCCCTGAGCAGAGTTCAGTGGTGTCAGTGCAACCTCAGACTTCGGCTGCAGGCATCCTGCTGCCTCAGCCTCTGAAGCTGCTGGGATTACAGTGGGAGTACAGGCAGTCGCCGTGGAGACCGGCTGGGTTTTTCCATTTTTTTCATGAGTCGGGGTCTCACTTTCACTCAGGCGAGTCTCAAACTCCTGAGCTCAGGCAATCCTCCCTCCTCAGTTTCCCACAGTGCTGGGATTACAGGCATGAGCCACCACACCCAGCTATTTTGGCAAATTCTTAACAATCAAATAGAAAATATTTCATTCAATATGCTTTTTTTCTTGGAATCAAAAGCCAAAGTTAAAATCAGTAATAAAGTACACATATAGAAATAAGATGTGCAGTCATAATCTTGCAAAGAGTAAGTATATTAATATAAAAATTATTAATTTGACCCTATTCTCTTCACAATCAAAAAGTAGAGTGCAAATGTAAAGAAAAGCACTCATTCCCCTTTGCTGAAAACAAATAAGAACATAAAGGAAATTCTTTAAAACACCTTAAGGAAATAGTCTAGTCCAATTCCTACTCACAGTCAGAAATTTATGCCTAAGACTTTAATAAAATAGGTATTTTACTTAATCACTGTTTTTTAATCTGAGCTCGATTCCCTGTGTTATAAAGTCTTTATGTCTTTTACCAATTAGCTGGCAATCGATGGCAGGGAATTGACTGTCACAGTAAAAGGTACTTCTTTGCCACCTGGCAAGTTTAGAATATTGAAAACACATAACTGTATCTTTAAAATCTCCAGATAAACTTTCTTTTAAAAAAAAAATTTACTCAAATTAATATGAGGGTACCACATTTAGGTTACACTGTTCTCACTTCTAGGGCCAAGTTCCATTTGTAGAAGTGAGGACCTAGGGTGTGTGTGATACACCCTCACAATGTGACCTCAGGTGAGATCCCGCCTCGTGCCCTCCCTCCTTCTGCCACACATCCTGCCCTCTGATATCTCTAGATAAACTTTCCATAAAATGTTCAAGAGATTGGGATTTCTCTGCTATTTCTAAGTTGCAATTTCCTTGAATTTTAGGATTTAAACCTATTCTAATCTGCACAGAACTGGGTACATTTCTCTTTCAATTTTTCTCAAAAATGTAGGTTTTACCTGCAAGGTTTTATCAGCTCCACAAGAAGCTATCCTCTGACCATCCTGAGAGAAGCAGGCATGGTAAACAGCATCTGTATGGGGGCGGACAACTAGGCGGGAGAGATTCTTGATGTTTTTTTTGTTTCTAAATACAGGGGGAAATGAACAGAAATCCAATAAATAAAAGTAAAAGTAATAATTTTTTTCAGTAATAAACTGTCTTGTAACATGGTTACATTCCCAGAAATGCAAAATTCTTAAAATTCAATTACTAATATGCAAATGACAGCATAAATCACCTGAAGAAAAAAATACATAAAAAAGTAACATTTTTAGAAGTGCTAACCCACATCGAGCAAACTGTCATGTGTTACAAATGTCAGTGAGCTGCAAGAGATTTAGTTAATCAAATACATGTCACTTTCTATTTTCCTTTAATATATTAATAACATGTGCAGATAAATCATCATGTAAAGGTATCTTCAAAAAATCTCTTTGAAAATGAAAGATATCACAGCAAAATGACGCTCATTTCCTAACTAAAGTATGATACTACACCTGCCACTCTGATGATGCACCTTTTTTTTGAGGCCACCCTAGCTTCAGAATGATGATGTGCTTTTAAACTGCTCTTCACTAACTATGATTATTCAGAGAAAAAAGGATAAAGCAATGTTATTTTCTTTGTATCTTAATCAAATAAATACCAACTATTTCACTCCTATAAATGTTATATTATTGCTCATGAATAAAAAGGTAAAGGAATGACTGTAATGTGTACTTAAAACACAAGGAGATGTCTCGGCACCTGTGGTTCAAGTGGCTAAGGCGCCAGCCACATACACCTAAGGTGGTGGGTTCAAATCCAGCCCGGGCCCGCCAAAAAACAACAATGACGGCTACAACCAAAAAATATCTGGGTGTTGTGGCGGGCGCCTGTGGTCCCAGCTCCTTGGGAGGCGGAGGCAGGAGACTCGCTTGAGCTCAAGAGTTGGAGGTTGCTGTGAGCTATGATGCCACAGCACTCTACCCAGGGGGACAGCTTGAGGCTATGTCTCAAAAAAAAAAAACAAGGAGAATTAGCATAGTGTCAGAATTTCATGAAGTACATACATACACCCCAGTCACTTAGAGAACAAGTCAGTATGTTAAATGCTCTTGTGCTCATTTTAAGAGTCAAAGGTTAGCAGTCAGACAAAACTAAAGGGCAACCTCACTTCTACTACTTTACTGTGTGGGTAAAGCAAATAACAAGTTTCCATTTCTTCACATATAAAATGGAAGTTATGATAGCTACTCTCAACAGCACCTGAAACATAAAGACGCCACTGTTACTCTTTAAAAAATTAACCACACATAAGACAAACCAAATGATAACCTCAATGCTCCCTTTTTTATCAAAAAAAAAAAAAAAAGCAAAAAACAGTAACAGTGAACACAAAGGTAAATCAGAGTTAGATCCCACCTAGAAAGTATCATACTTTACTAGACGTGATAAACAAGTATAGTTACCCTTTGGTACCTATGAGGGAAATCTAGTTAGTCAAGACCCACTGCACCAAAATCTCCGAATACTCAAGTGTCTTATGTAAAATGCCATAGTATTTGCATATAACTACTACATCCTCCCATATATAATAGTTTAAATTACCTCTACATTACGTGTAATACCTAATGCAATGTAAATGCTATGTAACTATAACTAGTTACTATATTGTTTAAGGAATAATATGTGGAATCTAACTATATTGTTTAGGGAATAATACATGGAAAAAATCTGTACATGTTCAATATTGACACAACCGTCCACTTTTCTCCCTAATATTGTATTTTTGACCCATGGTTAGTGGAATCCATGGATACAGAACCCACGGACATGGAGGACCAAGTGTATAAAAACCAAAGTGATGAGAATCCAGAACAGATAAGTTACTATTACACTTAAGAGTTTTGTTTTTTTGGGTTTTTTTGTTTTTGGTCGGGGCTGGGTTTGAACCTGCCACCTCCAGTAGGGCCAGTGCCCTACTCCTTTGAGCCACAGGCACTGCCCAAGATGATAAGATTTTTATTTGGTCTCAATCAAGTCCCCCAAAGCTCAGATAGTGACCTTCGCAATGATTGGCATGTAGTTGATGGCCAAAAAATATTAAATAACAAAGGAATAAGTGCACAAGTATTTTGAAAACTGAAACTCAACGAAACGTAAGCTTATGCTAGCCTGACCCTTTCCATAGAAAACAGAAGAAAAAAGTTTCTAGTACTGAAACAAAGCTTTCTTTGAACATGGCCTTACCCTAGTTAAAAAAACACACCTATAATGATTAAACATTCTGTAAGAGAAAGTTCCAGTGGAAATGCAATTGATACAACAGGAGAAAATAATTATCAGAAAAAATAGTAATAAAAACTCAATTCATAAAGAGAACAAGAACTAAACCTATGCCCATTTGATCAGACCAAGTATTTTAGTCACTAACTGAAACATGAATTCATTCAATCTTCAGCAAATTTCTACTGAATACCAACTAAACGGACCAGGCAAAATGCTAAATGCTATCCTTAGTAACAGTAACTAATAACCACCGGGCACTTTCTGTGAACTAGGTCCTGCTGCAGTCACTCTATGTATGTGCGCTTGTATAGTAGAACCTCCCTAGGTAACCACCTCCTCATACTGACCACCTCAAGCTGACCTAATTTTTATACCAGAACATGCACCACATGAATGTAACAATACATTCCCATAGTTCCTTATGTTGACCACCTCCGTAAGTTGTCCAGTTTGTTATAGCTCCTTGAGTGGTCAACTTACAGAGGTACTACTGTAAATTCACACACATTCATTTAACCCTCACAACAATGCTATGAAATAGTACTATTAGGCAAGAAATGTTGAATAATTTTCCCTTAATGATACATAACTAATAAAATAGCAGAGCTGGGATTCAAACTCAGTCTACAGCTAGAGTCTGTTATTCCAAACCATACTATATACAGAACATATGGACTAGTATGAGAGAAAAACAAGTAGACTGAAAATCCCCATAAAGCATGACAAATGCTAAGAATAAGATCTAACCTAGCTTTAGTAAGGTTAGAGGCTGCTTCCCAAAGACAATGAAACCTTTACTTCCCAGGAAAGTGTTCAAGAAAGGGAAGTGAGGGATGGTAAGTCTTTGACATTTCATTTTCCATGCCTGTTACTTTAAAATAAATATAAATATAAAACTGGCAGAGCACTGGCCCATGCCTGTAATCCTAGTACTCTGGGAGGCCAGGGCAGGTGGATTGGTAGACCAGGCTGAGTCAAGAAAAAAAGAAAAATAGACTAATCAGCTGGGTATCGTGGTGCACACCTGTAGTCCCAGCTACTCAGGAGGCTGACCCAAGAGGATGGCTTGAGCTCCGGGGTTTGAGGATGCTGTGAGTTATGATGCCAGGCACTCTAGCCTGGGGCAACAGAGTGAGACTAAAAGTGAAGTAAAAATATATATAAAACAAAAATTAAATTTTAACTAAAAAAAAAATTTAACTCTCTTAGATACCCCTTCCTTCAAGCAACCCTCCCTGAATTCTTCACTTACCCAAGTTAATTAATTATCAGCTCTACCTCTATTTTATACACATTTCTGTTGTGGCACTCATCATATTATAGTATAATTATTTGCTTAATCTTCTTTCTTCACTACTAGATTGCAGACTCACAGGGGGAACGCCTTAGCACCTAGTACTACTGCTTAGCTCGTAAGAGAAACTCAAATGTTTTTTGAACTAAACTGAATCAAAAGACTCACTTATGGCAACCTGATTCATCGGAAAAGAGGACCCAGGGCCATAAAGTTGACAGACGCCAACCTGGAGTTCAATGTAGATATAAATTATACATGTGGAAAGACAACCATTCCCATTTATTATTAACATTTCAAGCAGTCTGAGAAGCATGGCATATGGAAAGAGCATAGAAAATAAAGCCAGACAGACCCAGAGCTTAAACCTCATTGAGCAAGCCACAATATCTCTGTGCCCCAATTCTCTCATCTGTACAATACAGCAATTAATATTTACCTTATAAGGCTGTTTTGAAGATTAAACAGAATTACACGTGATTATACAGTATTAAAGGCATTAAAGAGATAGTAGTTTTATACTTTCCATTTCACAAACTGATAAGACTACAGTAAGAGCAAAAGTGAGCAGGCTCCTTTCAGAGACAGAGGAATCAGGACTCAGTGTTGTTTAATTAGGGCTATGTGCAAAGCAAAGGACAAATTACTTTATAGCCATGATCTCATTTAAACCCTCTTAATAAAAGTATTTGCCTCAAAGGATTATCTCCATTTTATATATGAGAGAGTAACTAGCAACTTGTTGAAAACCACAAAATTATTAGGTTTCAGAATTGAAGCTCAAACCCAGGTCTGTGGCTTCAAAGCCTAGGCTCTTTCCATGATATTAGCTGACACTAAGTCAAGCATTTGGTATTAATATATTTAGGATGACACGTCAAAATGCCTTGCAGGCATCTATTTCTATAGACTCTTTGAAAATACAATAGTTTTCTCCAATGCTTACTTCTCTGGAACTTTTCAATAAGAATGCTTATTAAAAGTTCCAGCCCTTTCCAAAGTAGTTAAATCTTCCTGGAGTGAACTTGTTCACTACCTGAAAAATAATGACATAGTTAGTGCTGTGCTCCCTTTGGTTTCTCTCCCAACCTACTTACATCCATTCCAGGTAAAGCTTTCCGTTATCGACCTCCTGCTTGGCCTGCAGCTTAGCTTGCTGATAAACCTCAGAAGTTTCAGGTTCACAGAGACCCAGCTGTACAATATTAGGAAATGGCTGCCGTCCAAGAAGGTGTCCATTTAAAGATAAAAACTCTTGAAAATTCTCACAGACCGCACAATCCTATGAATAAACTGAAATCTCTTAGAAATACAATCAGAGCCAAGATCTGACATTTTTCTGTTTCTATGATCTTGTCACTTCAAAGGCTTAAATGAAATACACTCTATATGAACTAAAAATGAGCAGCCAACCATTAGGTAACAAATATATAGTGATTCTCTTCTGGCTTTTAAACATAGGATAAGAATCTCATCATCAAACACATTTCTTAACACATTCTTTTTTTAAAAAAACCACTGAACCCCAATCCTACCTACATTGCCAGTAGGCTAGGAAGCAAATTAATTAGAATAATCAAAGGTTAAAGCACGGAAATTATCTCTTCACCCCTTCTTTTCTGCTCATCTCTACCATTAAACCTACAATTAAATGTCAAAATGAGATGTCCTTTAAGTACTAATTTTTCATATTAATATGTACCTTTTTATCCAATATATGCCTGTATTCCATAAATTCATGAATCAGATGAGCAGGGCCCACGAGTTCTGTTTTTGCTTTAATCCAATCCAAAGAAAACATTAAAGCACAAAGTTCCTTTAAAAAAAAATAAGATCCAGCAGCATTGTTAAAGAGATCAAGAAATTGTTAAGTATAACATCATTATCCTAATACCACTGAGAGAGAAACTTAGCAGATACTTTAAAGGACACAAAAGAAGCTAGGAAACAATAACCCCTCAATGATTTCCAAGAAACATAAAATGGATGGGGAGAGGAAGGGGAGGGGAGGGGAGGGGAGAGAGGAGGGTGGGGGAGGGAGGGTGATTGGTGGGATCACGCCTACGGTTCATCTTATAAGGGTACATGTGAATCTCTCTAATTGTAGAATATAAACATCTTAACATAATAACTAAGAAAAAGATATGAAGGCTATGTTAATCAGTTGGATGAAAGTATTTCAAACTGTATACTGAAACAGTACACTGTACCCCATGATAGTATTAATGTACATTGCTATGATTTAATAAAAAAAAAAAAAAAAAGATTTGCTGGAAAATGACCCAAATCAAAACATATGTTTTTAATCCCCAACAAATAAAGTATGGTTTCCAAATACAAAAAAAAAAAAGAAAAACATAAAATGGGCTTCACACCTTATGTCAAAATAAATTTCAGTTGAGTTAAAAATTTAAATATAAAAAAGAAAACCTTAAAAAATACTAAAAAATACAGGTAAATATCTTTGTAATCCTGGGGTGAAGGAAATATTTATAAAACATGACACCAAGCAAAATACAAAAAAAAAAAAAAAAGGAACATTTAATTACATAAAAATTCAAATCTTGACTATAGTTTGAAGCAATATAAATTAAAGATAAAAAATAAACCTGGATGAGGGCTTGCTATTCTCTACAGATAATTCTAAGAAAGCAATTTAAAAGAAAAAAAAAACACCCCAATAAAAAAATAGATAAAAGCAAAGGAAGAAAGCCAATTCACAAAATACAAAGTACATATGGCCAAACTCTTACCAGTATTTACAGTGAAGCAAAAATTTACCATTTTTATAATCAGATTTCTAAAGAGTAAAGGAGTAACAAGAAGATTAGCAGGAATAAGGGGAAATGAACATTCCCCTCCACCTCTGGTAATGACGTAGGACAGAGCACCCTTCTGGAGGGCAGGTGGGCAATCTGTCTCGACATTTAAACTGTACACACCGTGGGACACAGAAATTCCACTTATAAAAATGTATCCTAAGAAAATAACTGGATAAGTGTGCTTAGACAATCTAATTATTCATCAACCATCTAGCCAATCAAAACGTAACTATACAATGAAATAGCATGAAGCTTTAAAAATCATGTCACTCTATGTAAATGACATGAAAAGATGGGTATTAAATATAATGAAGGGGTAAAGTGATAATATAATTAAATATAAAGTGATAAATATAAATAAATACAAATATAAAGTGATAAAGTGGTAAAGTGATATATATATATATATATAAAGGCTATTTCTATTGTCTCACTTGGTTTTAAAGAATAAGTGTTTTTTTGTTTGTTTGTGTGTTTGTTTTGTAGCGACAGAGCCTCACTTTATCGCCCTCAGTAAAGTGCCGTAGCGTCACAGCTCACAGCAACCTCCAACTCCAGGGCTCAGGTGATTCTCTTGACTCAGCCTCCCGAGTAGCTGGGACTACAGGTGAAGAATAAGTGTTTTTTATTTAAGCAACAAAATGATGTAGAAAAAACTACACACAAAAGCATTAGCAAAGGTTATGATCTTTTCTTCTTTCCAGTTTTTTTCTAAAATTTTCTAATAAAAATAAACCATTATCTTAAAAATCACACAAAATAAAAGGCTAAAGAAGAAGAAACTGAATCCTGCCAGGCTATCATACATACCCAAAACATTAACGAGATGCACTAACGCAGTAATTCCAACTCCAGGAATTTTCCAAGGAAACAATACAGGTACAAAGATGAACAAGAAGGCTACTCCTAACACTAGAAGGGCAAAAACCCAAAAACAATCTAAATGTTCAATAGTCAGAGCTCAGGTAAGTAAATTAGGGCAAAGACGTTTACTGAAATACCATCATTCTGATGTACCATCATAATTCACTGGGTGAGCAAAACAACAAATAAAAATGTACCATTTTTGTAACTCTTAGTTACATAGAAAAATGACTGAAATTACATATGCTTTCCTAAAATGATAACATTTTGAGTAGATGACTGGTAGTCATGACTTCAAATGCAATCTAGCATTAAGGATTTTCCATTTTATCTTTCATCCATATTCTCCCTACAATTCCAGATTCATAGATTTGCCTGTTTGATATTTCTCCCTTGCGTCTTAATAGGTATATCACACCAAGTATACTCAAAATGAGCTCCTCTGCCTCCCCTTTCGCTGTGGGAAAAAAATTTGTTCTCCCTGACTTCCCCATTTCAGTTCAGCCTCATTCTTTCCATTGCACAAGCTTTTTCAATCTTCTCTCAAGATTCATCAAGAAACCATGATGATTCTACTCCTGTATCATCACTTTTTTTCTCCTTTCACTCTCTGTCCTTACTCTGAGTCTTAACTACCCGGGACATATGATAAATCTGTGTACTGTCTGTTTTCCCCCCGAGTATCAGCTCGATGACAGAAGCTCTGTGCCTCTGCTATATTCTTCTTTTCTCTGCTATATTCTGTTAATGAAGAATAATACCAGTCCATAACGATTACTCAATAAATATTCAGTGAATGAATAAATATACTTTCCCATCCTCCATGTCCTCTCAAAGCTTAAAAAAGAAATCCATGCTGCCCATAAAGGAAAGTTCCTGGTAAGAAGAGAGCCAACTTTGAAGGGGCTCATTTACTACAGTTGCTGAGGTACCTTTGTGAGTCACTGCAGGTAAAAATGGTAAAAACCGGAAATAAGTTTTTATCAGCAATATATATGGAAAAAGGAAAGTGAGATAAAAGAAAAGAATTTCTAAATGGGCTGTCTTACTTTGTGCATATTGGCACTGGCCATGTGATATGCCAGGAAGTTGTACCAATACATGCAGTCCTCCTGATCTGGTGAAAGAGTATGTGGCTGATGATACCTCTGAAACTGAGTGATCATCTTCTTATGTAGATCCTGAAATCCAGATCAAACATTTCAGAAGACAGAAACAATTTCATAAAACTGCATCAGAATCTTCCCACAAAATAATAACTTTACAGTAGAGAAACTGGGCAGATAGCACTTTAACCAAATTACCAACGTTAACACCATCCATAACAAAACCCATCAACACCAAGAACTCCAGACTGTGTTCTCAGTATGATGCAGAGAGCACATCATTTCTGCGGTATTCTTGCTAAATATGGATAACCTCGACACAGTCAGGAGAAAACAGGCTGCAAAATTAGGGTACACTGTGCAAATAATTGGCCAGTACTATCCAAAATGACATGGCCACGGAAGACAAAGACTGAGGAATTCTACAGATTTGAGACAAAGAGAAGTGACAACTAGGGGAACAAGACAATCAAATGCAATATGGGATCCTGAATTGGCCTGGACCACAAAAAAACAAACCAGGATTAGTTAACAGTATTATGTCGATGTTAATTCTCTGGCTTTGATACTGGTATTGTGATTAATATATAAAGTGTTAGCCCTTCATTTAGGGCAACTAAGTGAAGGGTTTATGCATAGAAACTATCTGTACTGTTCCATAACTCTTCTAGAAGTCTAAAATCATTTCAAAAGAAAAAATTAATGAAAAAAGTCTGTGCCGAGATGCAAGTACCTGAAGCTGACTGCGATTCTTCTCTGTAAGGAAATCTACTTGAAGATCATGTAAATAATAATGAAATGACTTTCCATTCCGATCACAAAATAAGAGAGATTTATTAACAAACTCCTGCAGTATGTCTTCAACTTCTTCTGTTTCCAGGTCCCAGAGAATACATAACACCTAGGAATCATTGTGAGCATTAGTACACACAAAGTACAATGACTGAGAGTACAGACGAGTCACTACCATAAAAAAATACATACACTGTAAAGACCTGGATAAGAATATTGCCATTTCATAAGCGGCAGCCCAACTATTCCTTAAGATAGAAAAGAGAAAGTCAGGTGCTTCTCCAACTTTACTAGAACTGCTGAGAAATAGGCACCACAGAGCCCTTGACAAAGCCTGAGAGACAGGGACTTAAACACCCTGCACCCACCGCCTCCGTCCCACAGGTCTCATCCTTCCAACGTCCTCTGTACAGTATCCTCTGCATCGTATCTATCAAAGTTGACCTGCCAAAAATACCCAGGGATGAGAAGTGCTGGTTCACCTATTACCTTTGTAGGGACCTTCACATCCTTCTGAAGGATGGAAAGGTCTGTGTAATAATCTTTGATGTCTTCTCTGAGCATTTCCACACTTATAGACATGGCTTCATCCAGAGCCTCATAATCGTAAGATGAAGATTTCCTTATTCTCTTAAATTGCTTATTCTGAAGCTGTCTGAGGTAGTAGTCCCAGCGGTTGGGAAAATCACGTAAAAGGGCACCAATTAAAGACACTACAAGGGGAGAACCTAAAAACATAACAATAAAGAAGAGCCATTGTATTAATACCATCTTATTTTAAACATCACCAGTAAGAATCAACTTAGAAGCAATTCCCCCTGCACAGGACCTAAAGCCTTAAAATATTTGTAACTCTTGGGTTCCTTTCTAGCTGTATATTCATTTCATTTAAGGATATTCATCACCTAATTATTTACAATAGTGAAAAATCTTAAACAATCTAAAAAATGTCCACGAACAGAAAACTGATTGATTAAATTAAGGTTCTGGGTCTGACAATTAAGTCTGTGAACTCATCCCACAAAAAGTGCTACATAGCTCTGATATTGCCGAATATCACTATAGTCACCTTCAAAGCACTCCCCTTGGCCTTTGGTGACCTTAGTGATATTTAGCACTGAGGTATGGAGCACTTTATCTAGGATGAGTTAGCAAATGTAATTGTCAGACTATCATACCATGACAGCTCTGATGGCCATTCAAAAAAGGAAGTCCCAAGACTACTCTGAGGAGCTGGTTAGGTGCTGGTGCTGGCGTGTCCCTTCCCACGGGCAGTACCTTGAGGGAGACCACAGTGACGTTCAGCAGGAAGGGATGTGGCACTTTTCTAGGATGAGTTCACAAACTTTTCAGACCTCATATATCGTAATACTATGCTATGAAATTTTTTTCAAAAGATATTTAACATAGAAAATGCTCAAGACACATAAAAAAGACAAAATTCAGAACTATGCATGGGGGGCAGCACTTGTGGCTCAAAGGAGTAGGGCACCAGCCCCATATGCCAGCAGTGGTGGGTTCAAACCCAGCCCCAGCCAAAAACTGCCAAAAAAAAAAAAAAAACTACATATGGGATTATAATCTCAAGCTTTTTTAAGTTTAAAAGACTGGAAGAAGTACTCTCATGCTGGCAACAATTATCAGATTATGGATAATCTCTGTCTTTATAGTTTCTGACATTCATAAATGTTTCAAAATGGATACATATCACCTTCATTATGACTACAAATCAAGTATTTTTTCTAATTTTTTTAAAAAACAAACTCAATTTGATGGAAGTGTTTCGGATTGTGTGTGAAAACCCCACACTGTACCCCAGAAGTGCATTAATGTACATAGTTACCATTCAATAAAAAAATAAAATAAAATAAACTCAAAACATGAGTGTAGTGGCTCACACCTGTAATCCAAACACTGAGAGGCTGAGGCAGATGGACTGCCTGAGCTCAGTAGTTCAACACCAGCCTGAGAGAGAATGAGACCTCATCTCTAAAAAATAGCCGGGCATTATGGCAGTCACCTGTAGTCCCAGCTAGTTGGGAGGCTGAGGCAAGAGGATCACTTGAGCCCACGAGTTTGAGGTTGCTGTGAGCTATGATGCCACAGCATTCTACCATGGGGGACAAAGTGAGACTCCATCTCAAAAACAAAACAAAACAAAAAAGGAAGACAACACCAGTTTTTACTTAATATATTAAAACATTATTTTTATAAAATCCCAACCAAAAAAATTTTTAAATCTGACTGTCACTGTATTTTTACTCTTTGACAGCAGAGGTCATGTCTTTATCTCACCCCTCTCACTAATGCAGTCTCTAACATAACATGGGTACACTTTAAATGTTATTTTAATGAATGAATGAATATCATAACATCATGAACCCATTTAAGGTTATCAGAGAAAAACCTAAAATACTAAATATCCTTATTATCATATTCATTAGTTTAATTTGTAAAAGAATCAATATTCCTATAATCCCCTCATAAATAAAATAAATAACCATACCTTTGCATTCTTTTATAATACTATGAGCTTGTTCTGGCAAATCTGCTTTCTTCACATTAAGAAAAAGGGATAAAATTTCAAGGCCTTTCTCTTTTCCTAAGCTACTCTCCACAGGGACTACATATTTGGGGCCTGCAACAAAAATCACAAGACAAAGTGAGTAATTTAGTATGCACACATTTCAATGTAACTGAATTAAATATAAAGGTACTAAAAAAGTAAATTAATAATCCTCACCCATTACTGAATCTATAACACTCTTGTCTCTGGTTGTAAGAAGAATCTGACACTGATTATCAAAAGCTTTCAACACCCAAGGATCCCAAACATCATCCAAGATCAACAGAGACCTAATAAAAACAATAATAATAATAAATCATTACTGATTCTTATTTTAAGTTTCCTTTAAAAAAGACAATTCTGGCCAGGTGCAGTGGCTCACACCTTTAATCCTAACACTCTAGGAGGCTAAGGCCAGTGGATAACCTGAGCTCAAGAGTTCGAGCTCAAACTTAAGTTCAAGCAAGACGCAGTCTCTAAAAATAGCCAGGAGTTGTGACAAGCTACTCAGGAGGCTGAGGTAAGAGGATCACTTGAGCCCAAGAGTTTGCGGTTGTTGTGAGCTATGATGCCACAGCACCATACCAGAGGCAACAAAGTGAGACTCTGCCTCAAAAAAATAAAATAAAAAAGATAATTCCGGTTGGCCACAGTGGCTCATGCCTGTAATCCTCGCACTCTGGGGGACCAAGGCAGGAGGAATGCTTACGGTCAGCAGTTTAACACCAGCCTGAGCAAGAGCAAGACCTCACCACTGCAAAAAATAGAAAAATTAGCCAGGTGTGATGGCACATGCTTGTAGTTTCAGCTACTTCGTAGACAGAAACAAAAGGATTCCTCGAGCCCAGGAGTTAGATGTTGTAGTGGAGCTATGCTAATGCCACTGCACTCCAGGCAAATGACAGAGTGAGAACCTGTCTCCAAAAAAAAAAAAAAAAACTACCAGTATCTTTCAAAATCTACCAAACAGACTCGGTACCCTTAGCTCAGTAGTTAAGGGTACCAGCCATATACACCTGAGGTGATGGGTTCGAACTGGGCCCAGGTCTTCTAAACAACAATATCTGCAACCAAAAAATAGCCAGGCATTGTGGGAGGCACGTGTAGTCCCAGCTGCTTGGGAAGCTGAGGCAAGAGAATAGCTTAAGCCCAAGAATTGAAGGTTGCTGTGAGCTGTGACTCCATGGCACTCTACTGAGGGCAACATAACAAAACTCTGAATCAAAAAAAAAAAAAAAACCTACCAAACAAAATAAAAAAGAAACAATAGTTGGGCTAGTTTATGATTCTTCCTCTTTTATTTATTCCTTTCTCAATATGCTGATTAAAATAAAGAGAAAAAAATTAGAGACTTTCCCTTTCTGAAACCCCCAAATCAGAACATATTAAAATGAAAGGTCCTACAAAGAGGACTATGTATACTATATAAGGATTAGAAATTCATTAGCTCAGGCATCGCTGACTGAGTATATAAAGAACTATCCACATGATGTATAGTTAGTTATTCAGACTAAAGCCAAAGTTGAACTGGGTTTAGGTTAGCATTAGAATGAGTCATATAACAGTAACAATCTGAGACTACTTTTTCCTATAAAACCAGCAATTTGATATGTTCTCACTCAATAGAATATACAACTAAGTTTAATACTTTACATTTGGCATACTACTAGAGTTTTTCATCTTTGTTAATTATAATAACAAAGAATCTCCATGCCAATTCCTGATTGATCTCTGTAAAAACTTTTCTAAATTCACCAGAACAAATGGGGGAAAAATACAATATAATGAAAACCTAAAGGCAGCTGGGCTTGGTGGCTCATGCCTATAATCTCAACCCTTTGGAAGGCAGAGGCAGAAGGATTGCTTGAGGCTAGGAGTTTGAGACCAGCCTGGGCAACACGATGAAACCATGTCTCTACAAAAAACTAAAAACATAGCCAGGCATTGCAGCAATCACCTGTGGTCCCAACTACATGAAAGGCTAAGACAGGAGGATCACATGAGACCAGGAGTTCAAGACTATAGTGAACTATGATCATATCACTCTATTTCAGCCTGGGCAACAGAGTGAGACCCTGACTCAAGTGAAAATATATATATACATACCTGATGGCGTAATTATACACTAGCATTAAGACATAATTTTGTACACCACAAAAAAATACTCTAGGTCCATATACAGGTTGAAAAATTGCAAAAGCATAAACCTAATAATGCTAAGAAATAAAATCCTGGCTTTATAACCCAAGATCTGATACACATGAGGGCAGGTGTAATATTTTCCTAAATAGAAGTTACCTTTATTATTGCAAAAAAAAAAGGAAAGTAGGAATAGGGAAAAGTTATTGAGCAATTAAAGAGAAAATGGTTAGTGGTTTCAATTCTGTTTCCTCCAGGGAAATGGCTATCAGTGGCCAAGGGAAGAAGAAGATAGCAAGAGGAATCTGGAGGAGCAAGAAGTGAGCCATGCCCTCTGCAATGAGTGTGCATCAGAATCACCTAGCAGGCTTTTCAAATAAAATACCCTTTTCAACCTATACTCTCATGTTTGAGAATCACTACCATATTCGGCCACTATTACATATGAAAGTACACTGCATCCTCAGGTACATGAAGATGTTAAAAAAAGCTCAAACCCACTACCTAATTCTCGCTCAACATAATGTAACCTCCCCAAGGTATGGATTCATTCATCTTTGTATTTGCAGCACTTGACCGAGAACCTGGCAGAACACTCAATGTTAGTTAAATGAACAACAACAACAAAAAAAAAAAAATGGCTGCTAGGTCACAGAAATTAAATTATTGACTGAATCCCAGGTTTTATATATACTCCTAACACAAACAGCAACTAAACTGCTATCTCCATTTTGTCTAACAAAAACTGTGAAACAGAGGCCAGGTAAAGTAGCTCACACCTGTAATCCTGTAAAACTCTGGGAGGCCAAGGCAGGTGGATCACTTGAGCTCAGGAGTTTAAGACCAGCCTGAGCCAGAGCGAGACTCCATCTCTACTAAAAAAAAAAAGGAAAAGAAAAAAAGACAAACCAGCAAGGCACTGTTTCAGGCACCTGTAGTCCCTTCTACTCCAGAGGCTGAGGCAAGAGGATTGCTTAAGCCCAAGAGTTTGCAGTTGCTGTGAGCTGTGATGTCATATCACTCTACCCAGGGAGAAAGAAACTCTATCTCAAAAAAAAAATTATGAAACAGTTTATAACAATCCCGGGCATATAATTATAACAATAAGTGGCCCACTGCCTGTAGCTCAGCAGCTAGGGCACCAGTCACATAGAATGGAGCTGGCAGGTTCAAATCCAGCCCAGGCCTGCCAAACAACAATGACAACTACAACCAAAAAATAGCCAGGTGTTGTGGCAGGCACCTGTAGTCCCAGCTACTTGGGAGGCAAGAGAATCGCTTAAGCCCAAGAGTTGGAGGTTGCTGTGAGCTGCAACGCCACGGCACCACACCCAGGGCAACGTAGTGAGACTGTCTCAGAAAAAAAAAAAGAAAATTGTAACAGTAAGTATTTAATTAATTACTTAATGGAAAAAGAAAACAAACTCATTCTTGAAGTACAGAGAAGCAGAAGAGTTACAGGTATACCTCTGAACCCTAAGACAACTCTCATTCTGGTGCATGTGAAAAAATAAATAAATAAGTAAAAACTAACAACCCAACAGAAGGGTTCCATTAAAAATCCCTCCTGACTTTTATTAGTTGCCTGCATTTATTCTCTCTTATTCTGTATTATCCATTAGAAATAATGGATTCAAAGAGGTTTACGCTTTCTAGCAAAGACTGCTTACCAGTTCACCTACTTAAGGCATTTTTTAACAGCCTACAATGGTATGATACATATCAGATGATGTAGGCAGAATGCAAAGAAGAGAAAAGTGGCAATTTTAGGCGAGATGGCAGTCACTTTATTTAAAAAAAAATACAAAAGAGAGAAGTAGGAAAGTCATGGTACTTTCTAAACTGCTCTACAGAATAGCAGGAAAAAGGAACGATATTCTCCCAATGTCCGCAGTTAGGTCTCCTTGGGACTTCACATGCTAACTAACTTTGACCATTTGTACCTTGGGTATTTGCGAAGCATCAAAATGCGGAGACGATCTTTAGCCTCTTCAATATTATGTGGAAGCCTCTGGGAAAAACTCTCATCCTGATCCAACCGTGTGCAAAGATTCTGCATTTTCATCAGAAGCCCAGATTTGTCCTGTTTCCCAACCGAAACCCAGTGCACACCACTTGAGAAACAACCTAGTGAGGAAAACGAGAAACTTAAGACCCCCGAACAGGAGTTCTCCTTTAAACGGTTTCACTATTAAGCATCAGATTTACTTCAATCCCATCACATCTTAAATGCTCTTGATTTGGGTTATAAATTCTGTGTATAGATTATTGTTAAGCTTTATAGAAGTTTAGGGTAAACCTGCTTATCAGGAAGATCCTACCAAGCAAAATTTCACCATCTTTGTCCTAAGTCAGCAGTGATCTTTACAACAACACAGTTTCTGGACCTCAGCCCTCCTGACTTTGGGGCTGATAATTCTTTGTTGTGAGGGACTGCCCTGCGCATGATAGGCTGTGCAACAGCTGCCCTAGCCCCAATCTACTAGATGCCAGTAGGAGTCTCCTTACCAGAACTGAAAACCAAAAATGTCTCCAAACATTGTCAAACATCCCCTGGGGGGCCAAAATCACTCCCAGATGAGAACCACTGGTGTCCCGGAACACATAACTCACTCATTCTGAATTTTTTTTATACAGACTTAAAATAAGAAGATAGACTGAAGTTTGGCTCTACTTCTTAATAGCTAAGCAATCTTTAGCAAATCCCTTCACTTCAATTTCATTTATTATACTGGAATAAGACTACTCCATCTATGTCAGAATTGCCATGAAAATTAATGATATAAAATACATGAAATTGCTGCACTATCAGGATATTAGTGTTATGGATCTGAGAGCACCTCACAAATATTAGGCTTTGAACTAGTAAGCACTTATAAAGGTGGCCTTTATTACTACCATCATTATCATCTTCATTGTTAAGCTATAATACATCTTGAAGGATGTATTTTATTTACACATGCATCAGGAGCTAAAAATCTGTCTTAAGAGTATACCTAATCAGCTCCACATAGATAAAAACCAATATGAGGGGCTCGGTGCCCACAGCTCAGCAGCTAGAACACCAGCCACATACACCAGAGCTAGTGTCCAAACCCAGCCTGGGCCTGCCAAACAATGACAACTACAACCAAAAAAAAAAATAGCTGGGCTTTGTGGCAGGCGCTTGTAGTCCCAGCTACTTAGAAGGCTGAGGCAAGAGAATTGCTTAAGCCAAAGAGTTTGAGGTTGCTGTGAGCTGTGACACTATGGCACTCTACCCAGGGTGACAGCTTGAGACTCTATCTCCAGAAAAAAAAAAAAAAAACAGTATGAGGGGTTCCTAAGTGTAAAATATGGTGAACAGTAGCATTAGTATAAAAAAGCAAAAAACAGACACAAAGATAAATGAGTTAAATTACACTCACTGGCCAATGTATTCACTGATGTTCACAAATAATTAAATACACATATATCACTATTTTAAAAACTTAATCATCAAAAAAAAAAAACACTTGGTCATATGCACAAAGATCTATTGAGGATATTTATTGGGCACTATTTTAATAGTTCTAGATATGTTAATTCATTTAATTTTATAACATACTATCAAGCTGACACTAACTAGGTAATATTGTCCCAGTTTTGAAGATAAGGAAACTGACGTATAGAAAAGTTGAGTAATTGTCCCAGGTAACACCGAATAAAACAGAGCTGGGATTCATGCCTCCAGCATCAATACTCAACTTCTGCTCTATCATGCCTCTACAAGGATATTCACTGCAGCGCTCTTTGCATCAGGGAAAAGTTAGAACAACCTGCAATGTCCATCCTAACCTATTTTATCACTGCACAATTCCCAAGTCTGGGCCAGGCCCCAAGTGAGAAAAGAATGAAGTCTGGAGTTTTAAATAGGATTTGACATTTTAATTATTGAAATGAAACTTTTTTTATACCTTGAAGTGACGTGTGGACTTTGAACTTATAAAAGGTCAAGGAAAGGATCATTCTTGAGAAGAAGTTTGGCAGCAATGAGGAAAAAGAATAGAGCTGTTTTTTGATTATACTCTATGAACCCCAATATGGTGGTATAGCTACTAAATAAACCCAGAGAAATAAACTGAACTCTATTCCCCAGAAATAGGAAGTAAGTAATGCCTAGATAAAGCTCTGGGGAGCAAGAAGGAACCTTACTCCATCTCCCAGCAGAGAGAAAAGGAAATCAGCTTTTACTCCAGATAAGGAGAAAACTAAAGACGAAGAGTATGTGCTAAGAAGTGACTGAATGATAAATTCAGCAAATGATAAATTCAATCAAATCTAGGCCCAAATCTAGGAGGGGACTGATAGGATGAATACTGAGGAAATTATGGAATCAACAGATGAGAAGTCTTGGTAGGTCTCACTATAGCAATGAACTTGAAGAATAAAATGGGTGGAGGGGGCAAAGAGGAGAATGGAATGTTTAATATCAAGATTCCAATAATGCTAGCTCCTAGGATGAGAACGTGAGAGAAAAAAAAAGATTCCAGTGATGCTACAGTTCTAGTGAAGACAAGGATCGGGGTCTCACCCGTGATCAGGGAAGAACATGGGTAAAGGGGAAAAAAGAAAATGGTCATCAGAGACAAAGAGGTCAAGGAACCAAGAGACCAAAACCTTGGACAATTCATCCACATAGATATCAAAATCACTAAGAATGACAACAGATAAAGGGCATTAGAGGAAGGCGATTTACGTTAAAAAGTCCAATCGTCAAAGAATGAGAGGATGATGACATACCCAGAAAAGATTGGAGAAATGAACGTCAAAGAATTCAGCTGGAGAAAGAAGTATGAATGGTCTGGATGGGATAACAGAAAGCAAAAATGACACTCACCCACTTCCTGGTACTGAAGTATGTGGGATCCACTTTTTGAAGGTGGTTCTGGAGAAGGTAGTTACCTTCGGGAAACTGCCCAGTTTCATATAAGGCAATGAGGGGAACATTCTAACAGCCTGGGCACAGAAGTGTCTCCTCTAGAGGAGGAGGCCTCGAGGGTCTGGCAGAAGAACAGGAATGAGCGGAGGCCTAGATAGATGAGAAGTTGGCAATGTCCTGAGTAGTGGCTGCATGCAGCATGTCCAGCCTTTTTTATTCTCTGTCACACACTGGAAGAGTAAGAGTTGTCTTGGGCCACACGGTAAATACACAAAACACTAGCCAAAGTTGATTAGCACAAAAAAGGTCCATGCATACTTTTCATGACATCCAACACCACACATAAGCAAAAAAAGTCCTCACAAAATCAGCATGTGGCCCATGGACCGCAGATTAGACACACCTGACAAAATACAATAAATTACCAAGAGACAGAACTCTGCCATAAGACTCCAAGTTGAGACAAGGCTATGAAACCTGGTTTGGGCTTGATGCCTACAGCACAGTGGTTATAGCATCAGCCACATACACACACGCTGGTGGGTTTGAACTCAGTCCGGGCCAGGCCAGTTAACCAACAATGACAACTGCAACAAAAAAATAGCTGGGTGTTGTGGTGGACACCTGTAGTCCCAGCTACTTGGGAGGCTGAGGCAAGAGAGAATCGCTTAAGCCCAAGAGTTTGAGGTTGCTGTGAGCTGTGATGCCCGGCACTTTACCAAGGGTGACATAGTGAGACTCCATTTAAAAAAGAAACCTGGTTTGATTATCAGTGCCAGTGTCTCAGAAGAAGATAGACAGTGCTACTGTTATACTCCTAAAGCAATAAAGTTTGTCTTTTATTTTTATTTATTTATTTATTTGAGACAGAGTCTCCCTACATTACCCTCAGTAGAGTGCCATGTCATCATTGTTCAGCTGGCTTAGGCCGAGCTCAAACCCACCAGCCTGGGTGTACATGGCTGATGCCATAACCACCATGCTACAGGCACTGAGCCCGCTCGTCTTTTAAAGCAGGTAGTATTTTTTCTTACATGTGTTTATAGTCACCTCATTTTCTTAGCTTTAATTTAGGAAATAAAGTTTACATCAACAGCACATCAACTGAGCCAGGCGTGGTGGCTCATGCCAATAATCCTAGCACTCTGGGATGCCAAGACGGGTGGATTGCTTGAGCTCAGGAATTCCAGACCAAGTGAGCCAGAGCGAGACCCCGTCTTTAAAAATAGCAAAGCATTGTGGCAGGCACCTACTATGGAGGCTAAGGAAAGAAGATCACTTGAGCCCAAGAATTTGAGGTTGCTGTGAACTATTACGCCACAATACTCTACCAAGGGTGACAAAGTGAGACTCTGTCTCAAAAAAAAAAAGAAGTTATAAAACAGCAAATTCCTGAGGCTTCACTTAATGTTATGTTTTGTGTGTGTGCATATTTGTAAATGTACAGAATAAAAGTTTGGAAAAATTCAGTTCAAACTATTAACCAAAATAATCTCTGGGGTAGGATTTACAATTTAGGAGAAAGTAAAGAAAGGTAAATAAAGAGAACTTCTACTTCTTTTTAAATGAAAATACTACTTTTATAATATTTAAAAAAAAACAAAAAAGGTATAAGTATAAACTACTTGTTGCCTTAAGCTTTTTTTAATTTGTGCTATCTATTTAACATTTTAAAAAATCATCCCAGGATTAAAGACAAGGCAAAGAAAAGTATTCTGATGTAGCAAACTCTTCCACACCATAATGTACGTACTTATTCCTAGGTCAAAGGCCTTTCTTTCCTAAATTAAAGCTAAAAAAAATGAGGGAGTATAAGCACATACAAGAAAAAATGCTACTTACTTTAAAAAAAAGCAGACCAATAACCATCTGATATGGAAACCTCCGACCATCACAATATGACCTTTAGTTGAAGACTACACCATTAATTCCACATTTCATAAAGAATCGAAACATCCTGCCTATGGGCACAAGAGGGAGCAATGTAGCCTCAAATGAGGCTACACTTGTAACTCATTCAAAGAAACTTATTCAGAGAAAACTAACCGAAACTATATTCTACTTTCACATGAGGCTTTATCCTGGTAGCAATTAATCATCTGATAGCATCGAAGAAATCTTGTGAAGGACAGAAACAAATAAGTAGCCAGCCCACACGGAAAGCTTTTGTGCTTTAACAACTCCTCACAGAAATACAATAGTGCTTAAAGATATGACAACGCTTTACAATTTCCCTACAAATAAGAAAAAATTAAAGTTCCTGGGTTGCTTAAAAATATTAATATTAATTAATTAATATTAATACCTAAATATATATTTATGTATATACATATACATAAATGGCTATGTATTTAATACTCATAAAGGACTTAAATTTAAGGCATGAAACAATAAAAATCCTCAAAGAAAGCATAGGAAAAACACTGGAAGATATCAGCCTGGGGAAAGACTTCATGAAGAAGACTGCCGTGGCAATTGCAACAACAACAAAAATAAACAAATAGGACTTAATTAAACTGAAAAGTTTCTATACAGCTAAGGAGACAACAACCAAAGCAAATCGACAACTTATACAATGGGAAGGGATATTTGCATATTTTAAATCAGAGAAAAGCTTGATAACTAGGATCTATAGAGAGCTCAAATTAATCCACATGGAAAAAGCCAATAATCCCATATATCAATGGGCAAGAGACATGAATAGAACTTTGTCTAAAGAAGATAGATGAATGGCTAAGAAACATATGAAAAAATGCTCATCGTCCCTAATTATTAGAGAAATGCAAATCAAAACCACTCTGAGATACCATCTAACCCTAGCAAGAATGGCCCACATCACAAAATCTCAAAATTGCAGATGTGTGGATGTGGAGAGAAGGGAACACTTTTACACTGCTGGTGGGACTGCAAACTAATACAACCCTTTTGGAAGGAAGTATGGAGAACCCTCAAAGAACTCAAGCTGGACCTCCCATTTGATCCTGCAGTCCCATTACTGGGCATCTACCCAGAAGGAAAAAAATCCTTCTATCATAAGGACACTTGCACTAGACTGTTTATTGCAGCTCAATGTACAATCACCAAAATGTGGAAGCAGCCTAAATACTCACCAACCCAGGAACGGATTAACAAGCTGTGGTATACGTACACTATGGAATACTATTCAGCCATTAAAAAAATGGAGACTGTACAGCCTTTGCATTAACCTGGACGGAAGTGGAACACATTATTCTTAATAAGGCATCACAAGAATGAAGAAGCATGAATCCTATGTATTTAATTTTGATATGAGGACAATTAATGACACAATGGGGGTGGGGGAAGGGGAGAGCAGAGAGAGAAAGAAGGAGGGAGGGGTGGGGGAAAGGAAGAGCAGAGAGAGGTAAGGAGGGAGGGGGATGGGGTCTTGGTGTGTGCCACACCTTCTGGGGGCAAGACATAATTCTAAGAGGGCCTTTACCTAACAGATACAATCAGCGTGACCTGGTTTCTTGTACCTTCAATGAATTCCCAACAATAAATTAAAAAAATAAATAAAGAATTTAATACTCTTTATACCACCCATCACCCTATAACATTTCTATAGGAACCCCAGTCAAGTGTGTAACGCTTACATTATTTACACTTTTAAAGAAAAAGATTTTGTGCCACAATCAAATGGGAAAAATCACATATTCCCATATTTAAAAATGAAAATGAAATCCAGAAATTAAAATTTATTTTCGGGAAACCATCTATTTTTGAGCTAGTGGACATACAAGAGACTACAGAGATTAAGGAGCAAACTATGAACAGTAAGACTGCAATAGGACTACTTGAGCATAACTCAGGAAACACAAATCAGAAGGCCAAAAAATTAATTTGACATGAGAAGTAAAGATTTCTCCTCTACTGAGAACATGCAGGACAAAGTTAATACACATGATAAATTAGGATAAAGAATTTACAAAGTCTAATATCAAGAAACTCCTAAAAAACTGGCCAGGAGCAGTGACTCACTCACGCCTATAATGCTAGCAATCTGGGAGGCCAAAGTGGGTTGTTTGCCTGAGCTCAGGAGTTCGAGAATAGCCTGAGCAAGTTTTGGCGGTGCCTTTAGTACCAGCTATTTGGGAGGCTCAGCCAAGGTGACTGCTTGAGCCCGAGAGTTTGAGGTTGCTGTGAGCTACGACACCATGGCTCTGTACTGAGGACAAGAGACTAAGACTCTTACTCAAAAAAAAAAAAAAAACCAACAAAAAGAAAATTCCAATGGAAAAAAATGGACAAATTGTATAAACAAAATTTACTGAGAAGAGGAAAGGCAGAAGGTTAACAAGCTTATGAAGAAATGTCCAAACCTGAGTTATCAGAGAAATCGCAAATTAAAAGATACCACTTCACACTGGCTGGCACAGCAAAAACTACAAAGCCAGATCACGTCAACTGTCACTGGGGAAGTGAGAACACTGGTGTTCCTCTACCTTGCTGGTGGAAATGTACAGACTGGAGAGCATTCAGATTTGACATCTGTAGAACCTATAATTTAGCAATTCTGCTTCTGACTACACACACTCAAGAAATTCTAACTCCTGTAAAAGTTTTGGAGCTTTACTGGAGCAGCGGAGAGCTGGAGACAATCTACTTATCTGTTTACTTAGGGAAAGGGACAGTAAAATGTGTTGGATTACCTTATAGCAATCAGGTATAGCAAATAATTTATACACATAGTAAGGAGGATAAACATTTAAAAGATAGCGTCACGGGAGATAAGAAGTAGAATAAAATAATTAATACCGTAACATTCTGCAAACAAAATATTTACATGCAAACAACATATACATTTTCTAAGAGCACACACATTCACGGGTATTTACAAGGAACGTGTGTTAATTGCATCAGAAGGACTGCTTTGTGGGAAAGGGAAAAGATATAAGAATAGGAATAAATTCACATGTACTGGAAAATTACCAGTATTTCTGGGATTTTCTCACAACAAAATAGCTAAAATCTGCTCCAAGATAACAATTTACACAATATGACTCTTTAATGTTTAATTCCATAAGTTGTTGTTCAAGTTTAATCCCTAAAATCGAGCATTCATCACAATAATGTAGAGCAATTTAAATAGGAGGTATTCTTGGAAACCTATAAATTGATATACTTATTATATATATATATATATATATATTTTTTTTTTTTTTGAGACAGAGCCTCAAGCTGT